ATTTATGATGTACATATTGACATAAACTCAATTAGGAACCACTTCACCCTTTGGGCAATAATTTTTTCCATTCCAATCCAATAATCGAAAGCACAACACGCAACGCATTGGCCCATGCAAACGCAATCTTGTAATTGTTATTTTCCCCATCGGAAAGGCAAAGGCATAGGCATAGGCAAAGGCACTTTTCTAAATATAGCCGAAGCAATGCCATCCATGATATTTCCATACCGAACTTTTTTTAATTGGAAAAATCAAGTGCATAAGGACCATTGAAAAATTTCCTCACACTTAAATAATTCAGCCAATGAAGCATTTCGTCGCTGGCGCACGTCAACATTCGTTTTCCACACTTCTCGCCCATAACCACACCACCGCAGAAGATCGAGAAAACTGCTTTTCTTCTATTTCGAACTGTGGCGCTTGCATTTCCCTTTGTTGTTGTTGTTGCCTTGTTGTGTTTATTGTTGTTATTGTTATTATTATTGTTATTGTAATTGTAATTGTAGAATAAAGAAAAATAGTTTTTTACATTTTGTTAATTAAAATGGCGCAAAGTTTCTATTCCCGATTCTCAATTAAATGCGATGTGTAAACAGATTCATTTCGATTATTTCAACATAAAATAGATGATAATAATAGATACTTGATATTCACTTCAAACGACGAGTCCGCAGCATAAACTGAACTACGAATATAAATCTCATGTATAGTGAAAAAGGCTTAGGTACGAGGGTCGCATGCCAATTTCTTCATGAAATAATGTAGATAGTTTAAACAATTATATTGAAGTGATTTTCTATACGTTTTGAGTATAGAGTTTCTTTAAGTTTCTTTTTTTAAAGAAACTCACAATTTTAATAAAATAATTGGACTTTTCATGTACCGTTCAGCTACTTCAACTAAGGCGGAACTTGCTCACCACTACGGTATCGGTGCTGACGGGCCACTGCATAATAGCTAGGCGTACTATGAGACTACGTTTACACTATAATGCCTTTTGTTATGGTTGTGGCTCAGAGACTGAGGAGGAAACTATGCTTTATCTTATGTTCCAGTGCACATTTTTAGCTAGGATAAGACCTAAATCTTTAGGGCTCCTTTTCTTATAGACCTGACTGAGCTGTAAGGGCTCCTGCAATATTAGGAACTTAGCCAAGTTTATAGATTGAATCATGTTTACCTAATGTGAGAGTCGTTCCCTATCTACATTGGTCGTATACCGACCATTAGTCTAGACATGTATCAACCGCCAATCCTGTGATACCACAACAGCTCATTCTTTGAGCTCAAGTGGGCTTTTTTGGTTACAAGACCGCCACTTCAACCTTACCTAATCTATATACTTTTCATACTATTATTAATAAAAAAGACCACATAAGTTATATACATGGACAGAATGAATTTTAGTGGATTCTTAAGGTGATGAGCTGTAACACATATTTCATGCTACTGTTTTGTCATCTCAAAAAATGCTGACTTTAAGGTGTTGTTTTTGTATAGATGAGCTATCTGATAAAGCGTAGTAGTTTCATTTACTTCCAGACTTGGTCTACATATTATCACTAATACTCTCTCTTTGTAAACATCCATTGTAATGAATTAATTCATCTATATATATATATATGGTGGGACGTAGGGACAGCGCACTGTCCAACAAGTGGCCCCACTGAAGTGAAGGATTAGTCGAAGTAGACCACGAAACGACTTGGGTCCTTTTTCGTCCTTCGATTCTCGGATGTTGTTATTGAGTTAAAGCTGGAGTGGCTTCCGTTCGCATAAGTACATCTTTTGTTAATGCAAGCAGCTCATTTAGCTTGAGGTTTCCTGCCAAGTCGTCACCAATCCAATGGTGTCCCAAGACACCCAAGACGTCCTCCTACTTGCCAGTGCTGGACATTGGCACAATATATGCACCGCTGTCTTCTTTTCTTTTAGACATACTCTGCAAGTGTCTTCCTCAGCAAGAGTTACCTTTTTGAGGTGATACTTGAAGTTGCCATATCCAGTAATTAGTGAGGTCAGCCAGCTTAGGGTGCTCCGCGAATAGCTAAGCACCTTTATCACTTCTCTGGCCCACGGTTTTGGTAACATGAGTTTGGTCTGTCTACAAGTGCTCAACTCTCCCCATCTATTAAGATGAAGTGAGGTTATCCACTTATAGACATAGGCTGCCATCATGCTGTACCCCAATGGTATTCTGGGCTCCGGGCCACAGAAATTATGGCTTGATCCTTGCTTTGCAAGTTCATCTGTCTTCTCGTTTTACTCAATACCGATGTGTCCTTCAACCCACATGATCGTCACCTCATTTCCATGAGCACATTTCATGAGCTTCGTTACACATTCTTGTACTAAGCTGTTAGTTATGTATGTCTTTTGCATGCTTTCGATAACTGCTTGGTTGTCCAGCGCTATCATAAATTCATCTATATAAAACGTAAATGACTAATTTATACATCACCAAATGTATAGAGACACCAGCACAATAGTAAACGGATATTGTCAAATTGGTTCATCTTAAGACAGAATATGTTTTGCTCACAAATAAATAAAATATAAATTAAGTTAATTGCATATTAGTGTAATTTAGAAAGGTATAGATGTTTACTTTTATAATACTATAATACAAGCATTCTTTTAATATAAAATTGTATCCGTCAAGCTTTTTTAAAATACTATGCTATGATATAATATAATAAACAGTTGAGAATAGTTGAATGATTAATATTGAAAATGATCCTCGATTATTTGGTTTTTTGATTTAAGAAGTCATCTCCTATACTTATGTGACTTAGTTTGAATATATATAATATTGATTTATATACATAAGTATATATGAATTATTATTAGTGTGAATAGTCGTGCTGTGCATCAGAAGTTGTAGTAGTTAACTTACTCCATATGTAACATTTCCATGTCAAAGATATTAATTTTACAACACCTAACATACAGCCCCCGTAAACAGAATGCTCATATATAACCATATTGATTTTTATCTTTATAAATTCAAAACTATTTTAAAATTATTTTATCTGCTTATTTTTATTTAAATTTTTTATTTTTATTTAAATTTTTTATTTTTATTTAAGTTTTTTATTTTTATTTAAGTTTTCGCTCTAGCATTTGCCATTTTTTATGCAAATTCCATGAGTTTGTTAGCCTGGGAAGTCAAATGGTTTCAATCAATTAAAACGTTGTTGCTCATTTCTTATACGAGATATATTTTAAGCAGAACAAGTACAGAAGGACAAATAGACAGACAGACGGACAGTTGACACTTTTCATGCAAATTATTTGAAATGTTAGCAATTTGCAGAAATATTTTTAACGCTTCACGCATAATTTCTTATTCCATTCCAGTCATGAATTTTTCCAGTAATATTTTTCTTGGATCTTGAATGGACTTTGACATGACCAATGATTATCGTATGGTGTAAATCAAATTATGTCAGACTTGAGAGATTTAAGACATACACACTCTGTTGATTGCTTCTAACCGAACTAATGGATTTAGTTTCCATATAAAATCATGCGTTGTCCGATCGCTCAACAGATCGTTTCCATTCGAAGTAAATCAAACGCCCCTGTCTGTGTGTTATTAGGCAGAAAATGAAATTTTAACAAAAGCAATAATTAGGCAATTTTATTATGAATTAAATTTTAAGTATTTTGCTACACATAAAAAGATACTAAATATTTTTTTAAATATTTTTAAAGATTGAGTAATTTTTTTGGCACAATTTTCTTGCGTTCAAAATACAAAGAAGCGCGTGCCACAGCCAAATTATAAATGATGAAATAGATATATTATTCTTAGATACATATACATCTGTAAAATTGTTTAAGTCAATTATCTTAAATTTTTAAGTAATCTAAAATCTCGGATGATTGTTGTAATTTATGAATGAATCTAGAACACAAAATTGATAGATTATTTTGGCTTGGTTATATACGTTTTTGTTGATTGAACCAAATATTTAAAAAATCTATGAACAATTAATTTAAAGAATTCGCTTACTTAAGTTGTGTTAAATAATAGGTTTTGTTGAAAATAAAAATATATCGGTCAGTGTCACATCTAGAAACAAAAAAACTTTTTTAGTGTCAAGCGAAAAACTTAATTTGGAAAGCAAGCAATACAATTTTGAGGGATTAAGTGCTATTGTGCTAGAGATCAATAGAAATGATGATCTTTTGATGATGAACCATTTTTTTTCAAACTTCAGATTCAGTAACATTTTTCATAGACAGCTAATGTGTATATTATATATTCAATATCAACAATATTGGCTAACAAACCCTTTGGTTAACCTACTCTGCTATGTCTATGTCTTAATATTTCATGATTTTTGACTTGTGACTTTCACATCATTGATTTTTGCATCGCCTTTTATATACTTCATCCATTTTAATTATTTAATGTAAAATATTACTTATAGACATTCAAATCTGTAGGTAAGTGTAGGCAAGGAAGCAGATTAAAAATTAAAACAGTGATTTGCAATACCAATACTCGTTTAAAATGAACCCATGTTAAGGCGAAAGCGGTTCCAATGGTGAAGAAGCCTCTCCAAAGAGTGGATGTTTTAGTTCTATACTACGTATTAATATGTTAGGGAGTCCGACCACACACCATTCTGATTACGGTCGGTTTGACAGTGCATAAAGCATTCCACTTCCTCACCACAAAAAGGAAGCAAAATAAGAAAAAGCAAGAAAAACATGGTTTAAGTTTGGCATTTGTAGTTCAAAGTTCAAGTATACGTACTTGTAAAAAACACCAACTTATATTTCCAAACACCATTGATAATAAGTATTTGATAATACTCAGGCCAGGTAAAAATTCATTCCGTTTCATACAACATTTTGGATTGAAGTTCTCTTTAGGTTATACCAGCGATCCCTGGTGGATCCACATAGGCCTATGGGCCCATTGTGTTATGAAACTCTGCTTTTGATATTTATAGCTATTGTTAATTGTGTATTTAGTGTCCTTTATGGCCTCAGAGTTTTTCTCTATATCTGATTTCTCAATAAATTGCAGTTTATTGGGTCTTGTCTCAAGGTTTGTAAGTTCAGCTAACATAACTTCTGTTAACAACAATATTTTCAAATGAAAAAAATTTTCTATTATGTATTAAATTTATGAATTCATATAAAACTATAAACTACAAATATTTTGAAATATTTTAGGCTCCATGGAAATCGAGTTTATCAAGTGCCTATAAACCAACCACATCCAGCGCGGTATGTAAACCAATTATACTTTAATCAACATTATGACTAAGAAAAATTCTATTTTTTCAGTATTCATCACGTGACGATATAAGCTCAACACGTTATAGCTCATTGGCTACACCAAGCACATACAGGCCTTCATTTGCAGGTGGCACATATCGCATAAAACGTGAACCGCCTCCAGTACCTGTTACGACATATACGAGTCGCTATGCAGCTGTTAATAGTACAACATCAAGTGGTACAGGGCGTAGTGAAAAAGAAAATACTAATGATGGATCCAGTAAGATTGGACAAATTAAGCGTTATACAACTACAACAAGTAATCTAGGTAAATATGGATCACGTGAAGCAAGCCCCGCTGCACTTGAGCGCACTAATCGTATCAAAAGTCGAGAACCAAGTCCGGTTTCAAGATCGATAAGAGGGAAATCACGTGACCCAAGTCCGGTGATTGATACCAAATGTAAAATAGGTTATAATGGCGTTAACACATACCGAATGAGCACACCAAGATCCACTGCTTCAACATATACAAGTCGTTATGGGGCTGGGACTAATACACGAACCAGCAATGTGCTACCAGATAAATCAATTTCATATTTATCTGTTAGTGACTTTAGAGCACGTTCAATAAGTCGTGCCAAGGAGATTGCTTTACGTAAGTCGAGTGAAAAAGAAATCGAAGAAGCTACAGCAACCCAAGTAGAGGAAGATATTATAGAGCCAATAGCTGCAGAGCAAAAAGACGATAACCTTGAAAGTGAAGAGTTATCGGAGGAAGAAACATTTGTAAATGTTTCAGTGGTAACAAGAGCGACTTCGCCTACTCCACCTGGCAGCACTACAGTGCAGCGTACAAGACGTATTGACATAGCAAAAACAATTGAGAAAACAATACAACGTTCGACCAAAAAGAAAAAAATGCTTGAGAAAGAAATACAGTCAGATAGGTTGGATGATTCGACACGTTACTCACGTTTCGGTATCAGTAGTCGTGTGTCCTCGTACAGCCCACACAGTGAAAGTCGATACTCAAGCAACTTACGTTACAGTGCCAGCCCCTTGTCGAGTGCTTCGAAGTCTACATCTTCAAGCAATGAAAATAAAAAAGATGATGCCAGTAGTAGTAACAGCAATAAAACTAATCGTACCACAAGCAGTAAGTCAAAGTTATCACCATCTAAAGTTGTACGTATCAATTCCAGACAATCTTCCGTGGAAAATTTATCGGCCAGTAATGCCAAGCCACCAGCGGCGCCCAAAGCAGAATCACCATCTAAAACCTCTACAAGTAGTTCCAGTGCAGTAGTTAAATGGCCTAATAAAGATTTCAGAAAATCTGCGCTCAATGTAGGTCCCACAGATCGTCCACGAAAATCACGCACTCCTAGCACTGGAACAGACTCTGATGCCATGCCAGCAAATACCTGTGAGATTAAAAGCACTAGCAATGCTAACAATAACCAGCGTGGAGAGCGTGCCTCTAGTGTGGGTTCGGAGTGCAGTAATGCATCTGCAACTTCCAATGGCAAACGTACTACCAATAGTGGTGATGGAAAAGTACGTCAACGCTGTCATGTCAAGGTCAGCAATAATACAACCACCTCAACATTGAGTCGCAACAACAGCAGTACAAGCTTAAAAAATGCCTCGCATAAATCATGCACGCCAACCACAGCAGTTTCGTCATCAAGTGGTACTGAGAGCTCATCTGAAAATCGCAAAACAAACAAGAAAAGTACAAAGAAGAAGGCTACAAACACCCACAATAAAACGGTCGAGAATGCCAAATTCCGAGGAGATAACAACGCAGGTGATGTTAATGATTTGTCGCCAAAACATTCAACAAAATTCGAAAATAGCAAAACATCACAACCACCAGCAACGAAGAGTGCAGCCACGAATCAGACTGACTCATCTGCACAGAGAGCGGAGGAGAGCACAAGCACTGCCACCACAACTGCCAGCGATTATCGTTTGCAGAAATTGTCAAACGTTTCGAATTTTTTCGTGAATTGCCAGAACGATGCAAATAGCGAGCCGATTTTCGTGGAAAGCTCTGAGAGTTCGAGCGATTTAAATACAGACCAATTGAATGAGCAGAACAACGTTAGTCTAACGGAAGATTTCGAAACGAAAACGAACTCGCAAGCGTACATATCGCCTACGAGCAAAGCTACTAAAACGAACAGTGATCCTGCAAGAAAAGCAGCATCCTCAAATTCGAACTCGAATTCAATACGGTATTCAAATACAAACACGAAAAGTGCTGAGGATTCATTTGTCTACAATCCACCGTGTTCATTACGCAGCAAAAATTCTTTGAGTACACACTCCAGTGAAGCTAGAACAGAGAGTTCATCCTATACTCAACGCACAGCTGCCACGGAAAGTGAGCTGCAACCAAATACAGAACAGGACGAGAGCAGTTGGTGGCAAGACACAAGTCGACAAATTGATACTACATCGGCCCTTGATTACAACTACAAAGACGAAATGCATTTCAAGCTAAGACATATAGACTCTGGCGAAACCGCTTGGTGGTTGCGAAATGACGAAGATGACACCCTCGCCGATGACAATATTAAGACATTTAACAACGAAGATGATGCAGATGATGTAACTGATGCTGTGCCATCTCTGCCTTCCAATAGTAATAGTGGAGCACATAATCAAACCAAACAAAATTGGTGGACAAGTGAAACCGATGATGAGCACGATCCAGATATAAGTAGATGTAGATCCGCAGAAGCACATTATGAGCCAAGTAGTGCGGCAATAGAAAGTTGGGAGTCCAGACAATATCAAATGCCAAAAAGTCATTGTACTCCAGAGAAGCAATGGTGGAGTGAATCGAGCAATAGTAAAAATACGGCAAGCAACAATACTTCAAAACAAAATGGTGCCATTCAATTGAAAATCTGCCGAATAGAATCTGGAGAGCGGCCTTGGTGGTTAGACGAAGAGTCCGGCAATAATAATGATAATGAAGGTGTTATTGAAGACAATACCACAGTTGAAGCTACTATTAAGTTACCAAAAAAAAGTAACAACAAAAGTAGTAGTAATAGTAAAAGCGTAGAACCTTCAGAAGATGGCTCCAATAATGCAAACAAAAGTGAACAAGAACATCGCTGGTGGATGTCAGCGCCAACAAAAAAATTACTTAACATAAAACGTGTGGAGTCAGGTGAAAAGGCTTGGTGGCAGCAAGAAGACACAGAGTCTAATAACAATGCTGATATCGAAGTGACACATACGCAAACGAAATTTTCCCCTATGAAGCGTAACGATTCTTGTGAAAAGGATTGGTGGCTGGAGAGCAATAATGACATCCCAAGTAATGGTAAACAAAATGGACAACTACAAATAAGAGAGTCTGATGATGATTCTGATGGGGAAGTAAATCAAAATGGTGGCGACATTGAAGTGCAAAACATAAATACCTACAATGGCAACGACGAAATTGGCAGATATATCGATTCGAATGCGGAACTGAGTAATTCATTTAATTTTGAATACAGTGAACGCCCGCCACCGCTGGGACAATGTGCCAGTCCCGTTGGCCACGAAGAAAACACAACAAATATGCGCCTCTGTAAATCGCCATACGATAACATTCCAATGTCAACAGTTCAATCTAAATCACTGCAACAACAACAACAACAACAGCAACAAGTGTATCAGCAACAACAGTCAACAAACACAAATCCGTATTGCTATTTCAACAACAGCAACAACAATGGCCACAGTAATGCTAAGCAAGCACAACAACTGCAACAACAACAGCAACGTGAGCTTTTCATATCGCGTCATCAAAGTATCGATGAGCTTTTGGGTGGTTCGTGTAGACCATTGAGTCCACTGTTTTTTGATGGCAACAGCTTTTCAACACTGCCAACAAACCGAAATATGTTTTTAGAGAAGATAACACCCGATCAAGTGATAATACATGATAGCACAGCACAAATGCCGATTATTCAGCGCATGGAGAGGTGAGTATAGGCAGATGTGTTGAATTTGTTGAAAGTTCGCTGAAATGTTTTATTTTTGTTTTTTTTTGTATGCGTTCAGAGATGAATGGGATAATTGCAATGGTGCGACAAATGGACGACCAACGCTTGGAGCCCCACAAATTCCGGTAAGCTTTATTTGCAAACAATATTTTTATTTACTGAAATAATATTTACCTAAAATATTTTAATGACAGTATGAGTAGTTGATTAATAAATCAATATTTATGAGCTCATATTCGTATCAATTAAGATAACGTGATTTCATATATAAGTTAGGAATAAATATAATCAAATTTAGATAGGATATAAATAGAAATTTGAAATAACTATATATTTATTTTTAAAAATATTATTTAATTAAGAAATTTATTTTGTAATAATATGTAGGAATATTATTAGAAAAATAAATGAGTAAGCCGATTTATAGATAACTTCTGATGAACTTCCAACTTGCATTGTTTTGCATAATAGTTTTCTAATACATTTTGTATTAGGTTTATAACTGTATTTATTAATTGATTACATTTAAGAAATCTGACTTCGGATAACAATTTGTACTAACGTTTTATATTGTAATCTATTATGCTATTATGATATTATGATTATTTAATATATTATTATTCTATATGAAAAACTATTTATTTAATTTTCTTATAAGTCAAGACCAATGACTAACTTACCATTATGCTGCATTTCTTGCTTTCAATTGGAAATTTCCATATAAAAGCTGATAAGTTTCTTTGTTTTTGGACATTAAGAAACCTTAAAT